CTTGCAAGGTGATTTTCACACCTGGCCTTACCTGGTTTCTTTCTCGCTCAAGGTGACTTTCTCAGTGAGGTAGTCAAAGAGCTCCCCTCTCTTCATCCTGCATGAGGGAGGGGACACAGAGTCAGGCAGAGGCTGAGCTGCAACAGCAAACCAGCCCTGAGTCCCTGGGGAGGATCAGTCAGGGGTCTGTGCCCCTTAACAGCCCAAAATAACTTTCATAACAAGGGGTAAAAGTGCCTTTATATATTTCAGTAAAATATCAGGCAGAAGGAGAAGAAGCTGTGCCAGGTTTTGGATAGAAACACAATTGTTAAGGCTGAAAAAGACCTTTAAGATCACCAAGTCCAAGCATCAAAGATGGGGCAGGGATGGGGCTCTCCCAGTGCCACCCCACTCCTCTGACATGCACTGCACTGTCCTGGCATTGGGAATTGTGACTTTGCAGACACCCTGGTCCCACTGAGCATATAAATAACCCTCAGGGATGCCTGACAGCTCCCACCAAAGGTTACAGGGAAACCCGAGCAGTGCTGAGCCGCTGACAGAGGGAAAACAGTGCTGGCAACAGAGCTGCAATGAGCTTGCAGTAATTGGGGCTTGATTCTACCTTCAGGGCTGCTTGTCCCTCCACTTTGCCATTTCTGGGCCATAAAAAGCTGGGAGCAATCTGCAGAGAGGGAGTGGGCCCAGGGTGCTGAGCCAGCTGGTACTTACAGGTCAAACACCAAGAAGAAGAAGGTGCTGGATTCATAGCTGTCCTTCAGCTGGACTGTAATAAAGCACAGGGGCTGTGAGCACAGTGTGAGTCCATCAATGGACTAAAAATATGATTAAACTGCTAAGTGAGTTAATGAGGAGCTGATCTTTACAAGTCTTGTGCTTGGGAGACAACATGGGGGGCACTGCTGGGGGGTGTGTGTGGAGGGAGAGCAAACACTGCTCTGAGCAGGTGCCTGGCATTTCACCCCAAAAACCCTTCCTGGGGACACCCTGGGAAACAAAGAGGGCAGAAATTGCTAATTGAGTTTATGAGGAGCTGATCTTCACAAGTGTTGTGCTTGGGAGACAATATGGGAGGCACTGCTGGGGGTGTGTGGAGGGAGAGCCAACTACGCTCTGAGCAGCTACCTGGCATCATCCTGGCATTTCACCCCAAAAACCCTTCCTGGGGACTGGTTTCGGGGTCCCCTCTGCCCTGAGGAACACACAGGGCAGAAATTGCTAATTGAGTTAATGAGGAGCTGATCTTTCCAAGTGTTATGCTTGGGAGACAATATGGGGGGCACTGCTGGGGTCTGTGTGTGGAGGGAGCGCAAACAATGCTCTGAGCAGGTGCCTGGCATTTCACCACAAAATCCCTTCCTGGGGATTGGTTTTGGGGTCCCCTCTGCCCTGAGGAACACAGAGGGCAGAAATTGCTAATTGAGTTAATGAGGAGCTGATCTTTACAAGTGTTATGCTTGGGAGACAATATGGGGGGCACTGCTGGGGGCTGTGTGTGAAGGGAGCGCAAACAACACTCTGAGCAGGTGCCTGGCATTTCACCCCAAAAATCCTTCCTGGGGATTGGTTTTGGGGTCCCCTCTGCCCTGAGGAACACAGGGGGCAGAAATTACCCTTGAGGGGATGCTCAAGGCCTGACTTACTGACGTTGGGGTGGCCCGAGACCTTGCGGAGGATGTCGATCTCCTTGGTGGTGGCTTCGCGCAGCTCCTGCACCTCCTTGGGGGAGATGTTCCCCGCCGTGATGTCGATGATCTTCACGGCATATTCCTGCCTCGTGGTCTTGTGGATGCACCTCCGGACCACGCTGCTCACCCCCCTGCCAGGGACAACAGGGACAAAGTGGGGGTTCCATCCCTGCCTGCCCAGCCACCGGCACCTGGGCTGGCTGGGATTTTCATGCACCAGCGGGTCTCGCTCTGTCACCCTGTCTCGGTGGGACAGAAGGGTTTGAGCTGATGGAAAGTGCTGTTCCATGCTATTTTTAGCCCCATGCTGCTGTGGGCCCTGTTTGTATCAGATTCCCAGGGAACACTGTTCCTATGTGGCACTGGGGGACGTGAAACCAAAACAAGTCGCTCGCCAAAAATAAAGCTTTACCTGCCCAAAACCTCCTTTGGCTCATATTTTTCATAAAACTCCTTGGATGAGTTCCAGTCTGGTAGATCTTCTTCCTTGGTCATCTCTGGCTCCTGTCAGGGCAGCACTCTGGGCTTGTCTGAGGGCAGAAAGGAGCTGCAAGAAAAAAAGAGCCAGGATGGGCACACACTGCTCCCAGAGCTGGGATCATCAATCCCTTATGGAAGAAAAAACATTGAGGAGGAAGGAAGAGAAGGAAGATCCTGGACCAACCAAAGGGGGTGTTTTGCTGCTTGGAAAAGCCAAGCTTTGCCCTTGGCATGCTGCAGAGATCCCACTGGGAACAGGAGAAACCCCACTAGATTCCCTCATAGCCTGGCTGGGGCAAAGGCTTTGGGAAATGCTGCAGCACCCCAAAACCTCATCCCCTCCCAGTGCCCAGCTCACAGCAGCAGCCTCCAGAAACAGCACCCCACAACAACACCACCCCAAGTGGAAGCTGGAATCTGCCCCTGTTGTTTTTCTCTTCCTTATTATTTTTAAGCAGTAGAGGGGCTGGGTGGGTCAGGGTGCAGGTGGGGACAGAGGGACTGGGGACAGTGGGAGCTGAGCCAGCCCGAGGACAGCAGCTCAGAGAGTTCCCTCAGCCACTCCTGTGCAGCTGCCAGCAGCCTCCTCAACTCCTGAAAGGCTCTTGTCCCATTTCTTTTCCCTATTTCAGGCTTGGAAGGATTTTTATACAGCTTGTTTCTGTGCCCATACACGGAGTCCAGGCAGTTAGGATGGAAAGCAGTTCTTTACAAGCCTGGGCAGCAAAATTGTCCCTTTGGGGTGACAGTTTGTTGCTGGGGAGGGGACAGAGGTGGGCAGGAGATCCCCAGCTCTGTGAGTTTCCCTTTGCCCTCCTCTCAATAGCTCTGCCAGGGCACTGGCAGCTCTAAATACATTTAAATCTCATTAGCAATGTGTTATCTGTCCTGACCTGGTTTTAAGGACCAAAGTGTGTTTTGGGTGACTGGCTGCTGCTGCCAGGGATGTCTAACAGGGGCTGGAGCATTTCTAAACAACCATGAGCTTAAGTCACAAAATTTTAGTTGTTGGAAATACTGTGAGTAACGCCAAACCAAGCTGAAAACACAAAGGAAAGGCAGGACCAGGAAGTAGGGAAAATAAAATATCTCGGGGGACGGGGTTAACCAAAATCTGATTATTTTTGAAAATCCAGGTCCTGGGGGTTGGTGTTGTGGGGAAGGGCTGGGGAGCATCCACGGAGCACTACCGGGAGAAGCCTGGAATCTGTGTGCTGAACCCGGGAATTTGTTTAAAATACCCTGGAATTATAAAAGCAGCAGGTGCAGGCTCTAATGGGACAGTCGGTACATCAGCAGAGTGCAAGGGGGGTCGTGAGGGGATTTTCTGCCAGGAGAAACGCTGAGGGTGAGGCGCTGGGCATCGCCCCCCACCCGCAGCCGGGAGGATCTCTAAGCACAACAAAGATATTCAAATATCAGTTGGAATAAACCCACAAAGCTCAAGAAAAAGCAAGCTTTCATGCCGGCAGGGGAACGCGGCCCCTCTCCCTCAGCCCCGACCCTCTGGCGCTGACCCGGAGCCAAAGAACGCTGAGCACGGGAGATTCCCGGGGCAGGACCCCCCTCACAACCCTCCCTCAGCGC